CCCTGAAGAACTCAAATCACTCTATAAAAAGGATCCCTGCACATGTATGTTTATCGCAGCGTTGTTCACAATAGCAAGAACCTGGAAACAGCCATGCTGCCCATCAGTTCACAATAGCAAGAACCTGGAAACAACCATGCTGCCCATCAAAAGAGGACTGGATTAAAAAATGTGGTACATATACACGATGGAATACTACGCAGCCATAAAAAAAGAACAAAATCATGAATTTCGTAGCAACCTGGATGGAACTAGAGTCTATAATACTGAGTGACCTCTCACAGAAGCAAAGATCCTAGTATCACATGTTCTCACTCATATAATGGACCTTGAACATCCAATGTAATACTATAAGAAAATGACTGACGATACTGGGAAACTATGGGGGGGATGGGATTAACAGTAGCAAATATCTGTCTGGGGATGGGGAAACACCACTTATCAACAGGGTGCCTGAATGAAGCATAATTGTACACCTAACACCTAACTGTACCCCACAAAACCATAATAAAAATATTGATAAAATTAAATAAATAAATAAATAAATAAATAAAATTGGCAGTGTTCTTACTTCCATCTTACTAGTGATCTCATCCATATTAGTCACATACTAAGAAAGGAGCACTGAAATTTCAAACTGTAATTGGGAAAGTCAATATTTTTCATTTCATTTTCTCTTTACTTTATATAGGGTGATTCACTTTTAGAATTGACATGTCATCTTGATGAATTGATTATTGTTCATGAAATGAGTCACTGTTTCTCTCATTATTTTTCATCTTGAAATCTATTTTGTCTGATATTCATAGCAATGCTCCACTTTTCTTATAATTTTAAGTTTGAATTCTACTCTTTAAACATTGTATTGATAAAATTTATATACCAAACATTTATCCTATATAAAAATCATTTTTTAAATAATTTACATCGTGTATCTGTTTTTAGATTTTTTAAAAAATTTGTCTATTCTGAACACTTTATATAATGGAGTCATACCATATGTGATCTTTTGTGACTAGTTTCTTTTCCTTAGCCTAAAGTTTTTAAGACTAACCCATGTTATAGCCTGTATCAGTACTTCTTTTCTTTTTATTACTGAATAACATTCTATTGCATGCATATATGATATTTTATTCAATGCTGCTATGGACATTCATGTTCACAGTTATGTGTGTATATTGTGGAAATATGTTTTAATTTCTCTTGGGCATATACCTGGAAATAAAATTGCTAGGGTTGCCATAACAAAATACCACAATCTGGGTGACCTAAACAACAGGCTTTTTTCTTACATTCTGGAGGTTGGAAATCCAAGATCAAGGTGTCTGCAGAGTGAGTTTCTGGTGAGGCCTGTCTTCTTGGCTTGCAAACAGTTGCCTTCTCTGTCTTCAAATTGCTTTTTCTGTGTATACACGGAGAGAGAGAAAGAGAATATGTATCCTCCTCTTCTTGTAAGTACACCAGACCTTCAAAGTTAGGGTCCTACCATTATGACTTCACTGAACCTTAATTGCCTCCTTAAAGGCCCTATCTTAAAATACAGTCATATTGGAATTAAAAGTGTCAGCAAATGAATTTTGAGGGGACACAAATAGGTCCATAACATATGTATGTTTACCAGTTTGAATAATTTTCAGACTGTTTCCAAAGTAACTATACCATTTTAGATTTCTATTAGCAATATATGAGGTTTTCAAATTCTTCACATCCCCATACTTGTTATTGTCTCTTTAAAAATTATAGCCATCTGCTATAATAAACATGTTTTGGAAACAATCCTTAATTCAATAGTGTTTAAAAAATGGGAACTTAAGGAGGTGATTAGACCTTCTATTTCTAGTGTACTGAAATTTTATATAATGAATAGGTATTGGAGTAATCAAATTATTTTTCTATATCTATTGAGATAATTATGTGGCTTACCTTCAGTTTTTAAATGACGAATCATATTGATTTATAAATGGCAAAACAATCTTTTATTTATCACATAAATACTACTTGGTTGGAACATATAATACCATTTGTGTATTGTTGGATTTGGTTTCTTAGTATTTCGTAGGGGATTTTTAAATCTATGTCACTAAGAAATATTGGTCCATAGTTTTATTTTTGTTTGATGTCTTTGTATTGTTTGGGTATCAGAGTAATAATGGCCTCATAAAATGAGATGAAATGTATTTCCTCCTCCTCCCCTATTTTCTAAAGGAATGTGTGCTGGAAGAACTGGTGTTTTAAAAATGTTGGTAAATTTACCTGTGAAATCATTATGGCCTGAAGTTTTCTTTGCGTCATTGCTTAATTAAATTACTAATTTAATCTCTTGTTTTATTTCTATTTACATCTTTAAATTTCTTCCTGAGTCAGTTTTGGTAGTTTGTGTATTTCTAGGAACTTTTATTTTCACATGATTAATCTAATTTTTTGTTATACAGTTGTTCATAGTGTTTCCTAAGAAATATATTAGTTTCTGTAAGATAAATAATGATGTCTTCTCTTTTATTTCTGATTTTAGCAATTTGAGTCTTCTCTTTTTTTCTTGCTAGGTTTAGTTAACTATTGTTAATTTGGTTCCTTTTTCAAAGAATAAACTTTTGGTTTTATTAATTTTCTCTGTTTCACCAACTTTATTTTCATTTACTACTACTCTGATTGCTTTGGATTTAATTTGTTCTTTTTCTCATTCTTAAGGAATGAGAAAGTTGGGGTGCTGATTTGAGATCATTTTTGTGTACTAAAATATGCATTTATAATTATAAAGTTTTCTTGAAGCACTGCTTTAGTTGCATCCTGTAATCGTTGATATATTTTGTTTTGTTTCCATTTATCTCCAAATACTTTCTAATTGTTTATGAGATTTCTTTTTTGACTCATTGGTTATTTAGGAGTCTGTTAGTGAAGATCTGAATTTTATTGTTGATTTCTTACTTTTTTATTTTTTTGAGTTGGAGTCTCACTCTGTCACCCAGACTGGAGTGCAGTGGCCGCTCCCGGCCACCGCAGCCTCGACCTGCTGGGCTCCGATGATCCTTCCGCCTCAGCCTTCCAAGTAGCCGGAATTACAGGCATGCGCTACCACGCCCGGCTGATTTTTTGATTTATTGTAGAGATGAGGTCTCGCTGCCCAGGCGGGTCTCGAACCCACGGGCTCAGGCAATCCACTCACCTCAGCCTCCCAAAGGCACGGGATTACAGGCTGAGCCACCGAGCCCGGCTTAATTCCTTTTTAATAGGTTGAAAAACATACTTTCTATGATCATAATTATTTAAAACTCATTGAGATTTGCTTTGTGGGTAAACATATGGTCTATTGTGTATAATCTGTTGTTGCTGGGTGAAGTGTTCTATAGATGTTTCCTAGGTTTAGTTTTTTGATGGCATTGTTCTAATTTATAGCCTTGTTAATTTTTTGTTTATTTTGTTTAGCCATTATTGATAGTGAGGTATTAGAGGGTCCAACTATAATTGTTGTATTTATATTTCTCCCTTCACTTCTGTCAGTTTGTTTCATGTATTTTATGACTCTGTAGTAAGAACACTGTAAGGGACACAGTATTTAGGCTGTAGAACAGTGATATATCCAATACAGAGAAAAAAGAAAACTGGCTTCTTGACTCTTAAGAAGTACTTTCACACAGAAACAAACTCCCTATTACCATCTCTTGGCTGTGTCTTCAAGGAAGCCATGCCAAGAACAATTGCATTGTCCATAGCATTCACTTTCCCTTAAAATGCAACCAATAAAGCATATGGAAACCAGGAGCTGAACATCAAATGACTGAATCATAAATGGAAATATCAATTACTTTAAAGCAGTAAAAAAAAATTTTATTATAGAGTTGTGGGGTACAGGTGAGGATTAACTACACAGTGGATTGCATGAAGGTGAAGTTTGGGCTTCTAACTGGCCCTCACCCTCCTGGAAATGGATTAGGTATTATTTATGTTGTCATGTCCCCCCTCCCCCACCCCAGCAGTGCCCTGCACTTACCCTTGTGCTAATGTGGTTAGTGTTCAGGGCCCACTTTTGAGTGAGAACATGTGGTATTAAATTCTTTGTTTCTGTGATAGTTCACTTAGTATGATGGTCTCCAACTGTATCCACATGTTGCAAAGTCTATTATTTTGTTTTTCTTTATGGCTGTGTAATACTCTGTCATGTATATGTATCACATTTTCTTTTTCCAGTCCACTTACAATGGGAAGCAGGGTTAGTTCCATATTTTTGCTATTGTAAGTGGTGCAACTATAAACGTTCATGTGCCGGTATCTTTTTGGTAGAGCGATTTATGTTTCTTTGGATATATTCCCAGGAAAGGAATTGCTGGATCACGTGGAGGATCAATTTTTAGTTCTTTTAGAAATTGCCATGTGTCTGTCGGTTGCTTGTATGTCATCTTTTCAGAAGTGTCTGTTCATGTTCTCTGCCCACTTTTTAATGTTGTCATTTGCTTTTTCCTTTCACTTTGTTTGAACTCCTCGTAGATCCTGGAGTTAGGCCTTTGTCAGATACATAATTTGCAAATATTTTTTTCCCATTCTGTGAATTGTCTCTTTACTCTCTTGACAGTTTCTTTTGCTGTGCAAAGCTTATCATTTTGATGAGGTCCCATTCGTCTGTCTTAGTTTTTATGGCGTTCACTTTTGGGGACTTGTTCAAGAATTTGTTGCCTGCTCCAATGTGCATAAAGGTGATTCCTATGTTTTTCTTTTAGGATTCTCATAGTTTGAGGTTTTGTATTTAGGTCTTTAATCCATTTTGAGTTGATTTTTGTATATGGTGATAAGGGTCAGTTTCATGCTTCTGAATGCGGTTAACCAGTTTTTCCAGCATCATTTGCTAAATATGGTCACCTTTCCATAATGATTGCTCTTGGTGGCTTTGTCAATGATAATTTGAATGAGAGGCCATGTTTTTATTTCCAGAATATCTGTCATTTTCCTTTGGTCTGTTTTCCTATTCCTGTACCAGTACCATTCCATCTTGGTTACTATAGCTTTGTAATAACGTTTAAAGTCTGTAAGTGAGATAGCTCGTGCCTCATTCCTTTTGATGAAGATTGTTTTGGCTATTTGTGCTCTTTTTTGTTTCCATATGAATTTCTGTATTATTGTTCCCAGGTCTGTGAAAAATGATGTTGGTAATTTAATAGGTATTGCATTGAATCTATAGATTGCCTTGGGCAGGATGGATATTTTGACAGTGATGATTATTCCAATCCATGATCATGGGATGTTTTTCCATTTGTTTATGTTGCCCTTGATTTCTTTGAGCAGTGTTTTGTAGTTCTCATTTTAAAGGTCTTTTACTACTGTGGTTAGGTGGATGCCAAAGTATTTCATTTTTTGTGGCGATTGTGAGTGAGATTGTGCTTTGTATTTGTTTCTTCACCTGCTTGTTGTTGCTGTATAGAAATGCAACTGTCAGCCGGGCTTGGTGCCTCAGCCTGTAATCCCGCACCTTTGGGAGGCTGAGGTAAGTGGATTGCCTGAGCCCGCGGGTTCAAGACCCGCCTGGG